TTTCATATTCTGGTCAGCTGTGGCCAAACTGTGCAAAAGGTTAGTCTTAGATAAACAAGTAAGAAAGCCAGCATGACTGATTAAAAATTAATCCTTATTGAAACAACTAGTTTGTGAAAACTACTAGCACTCCTTCAAAGAAACCATGTTCTACATACTGTGTGTAACACAAGCACCAGCAGTTGATTGGCAAATGAAGGATTACTAATAACTGGGACAACTATTTTCATCACATTAGATATCCAACCTTTTTTTTTTATTGTTAACTCATAAGGCAGTTAGTATCATTTACTATAAAACGTATTCTGAGTTACTTTTTGAAGTTTCATATGCTGCATGGTATGTATTTTCATACCTTCTTTTAATCTAAGGTAAGTAAAGTTCCTATATATTATATATTTTCCTTTTGGTTTATTTTCTGATTTTTGTAATGATGTAGATAAAAAAAAATCACTAGTTTATGTGAATAATGTTAAACAATCTATTTAGTGAAGAAATTAATTCCTTCTAGTAAAGTAATTGTTTCACCACAACTATATTCATATGGAATGCACAGAAATCTTTAAAGTATTGCATTGGGCTGTTCTATGGCCCCTAATAGTTGAAACATAGCAGTCTATCTTCTCAAAAAGAACATAAAACCTGCAACTGCAGTTTAATGTGGAGAGATAGGATAAATGGATTTTATATGCACCTATTAAACATTTCCCACATGGCATGGTAAACCTCAAAATTGATTGCTTTCTAGCCACTGCCTGTAACTTGAGACTTAAGGGTGGAGCTTATAGATCTAACCTCTGCTGCATCTACAATTGAATTTCCCCTCAGATGAAAGTGTCTATGCCAGTGACCGGCCAGGCACAGAGACCATTTTTCGAGAAATGCTCACACATCATGATAAGCCAAAATTTATTTAATGCCAGAATGTAGCTGAATATGTTCTCCACAGCTGAATAAAAAAGTGAGGTGCCTCAGGACTTCCAACTAGTGAGAAAAAGTAAAGTGCCCCTTGAGGTCTGAGGTATGACCACACCACTTTTGCTATCTTTAGCAAGCATGATGCAGTGATGTCCTGTGGGGACGACAACTGTGCATAGCTAGAAATACGGCCTTCATTTCTAGGTTGTTATGAAGATTTATACCCCAAGACCAAAATCCCGTCCAAAAAAGATCTAGTTGATGACCTAAGCATGATGTATTTAAGGCAGTGGTTAATGACTGTATTAGATTCTGAAGGTTGACCTCAGAATTCCAGTAAGAAATCAGACTTAATTCTACTACCAAATGAAATGGCCATGAAATTTAGATCCAAGGGGATCTGAAAATCGGGGTGTGTGTCCTTGTCAGGATTTTAGTTTCCTAAATACAAGAATGGGAAAGGCCACATACAAAACCTTCCTAGTTAATTACATCGACTGCTCTGTTCAGAGATCCTAACAGAGCAAGGTAGATGTTGAGCAGTCAGAAAAGTCTTCTTGCACACTCTTGATATGTGAGATTACATCTGCAAGATCCTGTCAAGAGCAACATGGAATTTAATTGTTGAGAAAATCCATCCTCACATAAAACAAAATTCTGAGATGAATCAGATCCTATTTCTCCTTATTGAGGATTTGGCCAAGACAAATAACTGTCCCCCAAAAGAGAGCTAAATCCCTTAGAAGGGCACATCAACCAGATGTCAATGTACTGGATGACTCCAAGTAGCTTTAAATGAGGTGCTGTTACTTTGGAGAAGACTTAGAGGGCAAAGATGTGCCAGTCAACAAAGACGTAATGGAGGAGTCTATACAGGGAATTTGAGTCTGAAAAAATATTTCCCCTTGATATGTAACCAGATTTAATTGCACAAAAAGACACACATTTCCCTTGTGCCACGAAGGAAAGGACTCACTACAAGAGACTGGCAACATCCATCCATCAGAAAAAGTAGAGGTGCCATCACTAACTGGAGCTGAGAACTTTGATCCATGGGAAGTGTCCAAGATCATACCTTTGCTGATACAGGCAATTTCCATTAAACCCCTCATGGAAATGGAGGAGTTTATTGTGATGGAGTAGAAAGCAAGTCTCTTCATCCTATAAGTGGCATGACCAACACCTCATGAGGCCAAAGAGAAGAAAATGGACAGACATTTTAGCATGCACATCAAGTGAACACCAAGCAGGTGGGGGTTCAAGTGATAAGCAGCTTAAAAGATTGCCACATCTACCCACAGACTGAAGTATAATCAATGCTTTAAGGAAACAAGAGTCCACTAGAGGGACAAATGCTCAAATGATCCAAAAAGAATTTCCATATTTGAAGATAAGGCCATGTCTTCTTTATAACTTCTCACTGTTGAAACTATCTCAGATATTCTTGTGTGATATGATGTTCAAATCTCCCACCATGGCAGCAATACTGAATGCAAGATTTGGCACCATTTTCATTTTTTGCAAACTGACAAAAAATGGAATCAATGAAAATAAAATTCAATTTACAGAAATTGAAGGAAAAAAATCTCTAAAATGTGAACATTAGGATATGCTACCAGAGTCTGATATAGTTCTTGTCCATGCAATTTATTCACATAACTTGTGTGTGCAGATGAATCATTTCACCAATACAACATAACACAAGAGTTCAAAAAATGAAAATTGAATTGCACACAAAATTTGAAAAGTTAAACTCATCCAAATAAAAGTAAACATGATAGTCAAGATAAAAAAATAAAACAAAGATGTTAAATTTCTGTCAAATGTACATAAAATAGAAAATAATGGTAACACATGTAAAATGCTTAGAACAGTCTGGTTAAGGGTAAATGGTCTAGAAGTTAAGTCATGCAAGAATATTTTTTCTTCTTTGAGTGTGTGAGCTTCACCATAGACCTTTTGACCCCCAAATTGATAATCTTTCTTTTACATAAGTGGGCCCTCCACAAAACATTGGTGAATGTACATGAATGAGAACATTTGTAAAGATACCATTTTTTGCTTTCTTTTTTTTTTACTTCCCCGCCCACCCATCCCTCCATTCCCCAGTGACTCAAATAGCTGTACACAAAAATATTACTGTGCAGAAACCAATTTTTTTTAGTCACTGTGACTTTGGCTCTACCAAAATCAAATAGCTTTCTTCTTTATTCCAAGTATAAGCTGTCCACAAAATTTAGTTCAAGTCTGTGGTGTACTGCACAGAAACAATTTTTCTTCTCTCAGTCACTGTGACTTGGATGTCTGACCCCCCAATATGCTCCAGCCTTTTCCCTTATTATAAAAAGGTCTATGATACAGAAATGACATTACAGTGCAACAAACCAAAATTGTTACCAACCCTTTGTAACAAGCATTCTGATGGGTTAAAACTGCAATATCACACATAAAACTGTTATTAGTTCAGAATGCCAGAAAGGAACCATTTATGTATTCATGCACCTTTCTTGCATCCTTTGACAAGATTTCTAAATAATGGCTAAAATATAGCTGTTATTTATTTCTTGCCATCTGTTTTGTAATGATAAGAACTGAACTTGATATTGTACACAATTCATGAAGTCGTGAAGCATGACATTTGATTGAAGCCTTCACTTTACAACTGCCATTCTACCAGTGAGTGATAAAAAATTCTTTTAAGTTCCATGAATCCTGTAAATATGAAATTGAATTCTTCAGAAACCATATCTCTTGGTTCAGTCATTGCGACTTTGACCTTGGATGTTCCGACTCTCCAATCAATAGACATCTTCCTTACCTCAAGTGGAAGTGATCCATCATGTTTGGTGAAGGTAGATGGAGTGAAACTAAAAGTATTGTGCTGAAATGGAAAAGGCAACACATAGATGGCTGTACAGACACACAGACATCATAACATCATATGCTCTGCCTCTAGTCAGGCATATAAGAAGTCACTCAAGCATAACAATTTGGTTCAAGTGCAAGAGGTCATCTAGATATGGATTGCAGCCCCCATTTCCTGTTTATAAAAAAAATGAAGTGTACAATGTATATCTTATCCTATTTAAGCTGTTCAAGGTAACATAAATGATTTTCAAATGTGGAAAAGTCCAAGAATAATAAAAAAAAAATTCTTCATAACGTTCTTGAAATCTGTACCAAATTTGACGAAATTACCATAACTGTTATAGACCTCTTTTAGAAAAATGAATGTATTTATAGCCACAAAGACAGGACAGTCGGATATCCATAACAGCTGTATCCTACCATATTATAAGCAGAGGGGGAAAATGAAATAAAAATCTGAAGAAAATAAATCGAATGTGCATAAAAATCTGGCTCAGTGACAGTTTTCATATGGTCAAGTACCTCTAATTGTGATACATTTACAAACCTATTTTAACAAGTCTAGGTGAAACAGGAACCATGACATTTAAGATTAGATACAAGTGACAAGTGTGAAAATTAGGTCACAATGAGCCAGTTATGGTAGAGCTGAGCTACTCTCCTTGAAATGCACTCACATCAAGTGTTTTGCTCAATAAAATAACTAGTGTACATTGCTCAAACTGACACTCAGTATTCAGCTGGGTCGACTGAGTGGCTTTCTTCTGAAGTGAATGTAGCCTATAGCTTAACCATGGCCTGTCCATCGGCACTTTACTGGTGTTGATGCTTTCAGCAGTCTTTAGTAACATTATATGTTCAATGAACTACTATATACAAATAATATATCACTCATTGTAGCATTTGAAGTCATATGTGGACAATCCAAGCAAAATAACTGCATGACATTGAACTGTGATGTGTGTGTGTGTGTTTGTTTGTGATTTGGATTTTTAATATAGCTTTAACAATTTTTCAGTCATAATGCTACACTGTCTGCAGTGATGCCATTTATAGTGATGTCTACCACTGGTGCATCATAATGCAGACATGTAGCATGATGTTCCACCTGTCACATCATTCTAACACCAGGTCAACCAGTTCTAACACTAACCTCTTAATTCTGAGTGCCTAGCAAGGCAGAAGTTTGAACCATTTTTTTTAAGTCTCTGGTATGACTCTGCTGGGGGTTCAAACCCGAGACCTCCCACATCAAAGGTGGATGCTGTAACAACTAAGCCACTGAATCAATCAAAGTTGACAACTGAAATTCTTAATCAAGCATGGAAGCAAAACAAAGTATGTTGATCATGCATTAACCACAGTACAAAGACAAATTTACACAGTTGTCAAAGAAGCTTATAAATCAACCTATACTTATAACTCAGATCTACCACAAAGCAGTATCATTTGAAGACTCCGCTGAGGCAACTTTCATTTGAGGCAAGTTTAAAATTAGAGCATTAAAGCAGAATGTAAGCTCAAAATGGTGATTTTGCCTACATCATTCTGCCAGTCAGAAGCATCTCATGGCAATTATGATGCCATCTTTATGACACCCAACAGACTGGGAAAAAATTTCCATCCCAAAATATGGATGACAAGATAACATCTGCCTTCTTACAATACCTCTATTTACATTAACTCTTTAATGAGTTTTTGGATAATAGTTTCTTATTCAATAAGCTGTTCTGGGAAAAACAAATGACCAAATTTAATTTCTGAATATTACAATGAACACTGAAAAATTTGTCCAACTTTGTCATTCCATCTAATACAGTAATAAGCGTCTACAGCAAAATCATGATCAGTTAATAAAAGGCAAGACTTTTGTCCTCTTCTTCAAAAGCTTTATGAATGCATATACTTTAGACATTTATATACATGTCCATCCATTTATATGGTGCCATGTACATTTAGGTAACTAAAAAAAATGGCAAAAAAGGGTACAATCCTATGAAAAAGTTTTTAAAAATGTTTTATTTTGCTCTAAACTGCCAATTTTTATTTTAAAGTCAAAAACCTCTCCAGGTGGAATAACATCACATGACTCATCCCTGGAAAATAAGGCTGCATCCATTAGTTGCCACTTGCGGTGTACAGAAGGACTGTACACTGAGTCTATTCTGTATCCTTGAGTCATGGACGAGAGGTGGGGGTATATTTTGCTACAATAACTTTATTCAACTCCGTTCACAGCTGACTGTGACTTATAAAGTACACTCTTAAAGATGGTAGCTTGTGAAATGCATTTAACTTTCTATCTTTTAAAAACTTGTATTTTTCACACTAACAGGTTCCAGAAGTCTAAAATTATTAAGATGTAGGGCTGATGTACATTTTATTACACTGCATTTTATTGTGCATTTTTATGTACAGGTAATAACACAGAATATTATGGGGTAAAAAAACATTTGTCACTATCTTCTGCAGAAGAGTTGAGCAAACATGTGTATTTTGGTGAGGCAACTTTTTCATTATGACTTAATAATCAAAATCAAAGTTTTTCACAACAAAGCAAGTGCAACTAATATATGCCAGATTGTAAACTAATAAAGATTTCTAGTCTTGAATACTTTTCATTGATTTTATATTTCTTTCTAAGTACTATTTAAAACTTTCCAAAATTAAGTAATAGTTTTTCTTTTTTCTTTTTTATTATTGAGACAGTAATTCAGTAATTTCAATTCTGTTATTTACGTCAATTCTCTGAGCTCATGCCACTATGGATCACCCAAGGTAAAAAGTGTGTCATATCAATGACACCATATTGAAAATAATTAAGCCATTTCAAGCTGTGCAAGATATGCACTGATTTTACACAAAAAAAGCAGACTACCGTAACAGAAATAATCACAATATCAAGTAAATCTCTGTTGTGTAAGACTGTGCACAGATGACAGAAACTGTGCCTGTTAACAGTAGGGGAAAGTCTCTCAATTGTAAGGACATCTGTAAATTTTAAAATGTCACTTCAGCTTAAGTTCCATAAAATTTCATACACATTTTGGATATACAGATGAACTTGTATTAATACTATGGTATAAATATGTGCATCATATGTGTTTTGGAGTAGGAATACTGATAATAATCTGGAGATATTTAACAATAAATTTCATCTCCGCAAATTGAAGAACAAGCTGCATGCTTAGATGCATTTCCTTCCACAAAAATCAAATCTTTTTATATTAATATTTTAAAAATCAGACTGATTTTTCTCAATGTAACATTTTCAAAAAAAAATATTCTTAAGAAAAAAATATAGCATTTTAATTTGCTGTTACAACAATCCGACTTGGGAAGGTAATTTTGTGTGTTCTTTTTTGCAGTCAACTGATTTAGCTGATTAATATCCATGTGCATTGGTTCCAACCCTTACATTATCAAGCTGTGCAACAAAAGCCATTTCAAACTAAATCAATATCATCTGTATCTTATCTACCCGTTGTCTTAGATTATTCTCCTGTGAAAGTGGCCTTAAAATAATGAGACTTCCCCACCACTGGTAACTGGTTATAACACTGATAATCATGTGCAATGGGAAATACAAATTACATTTTAAAGAAAACAATAAAACACATGAAATTCAATTAATAATGCAAATAGTCAAATATGGTTGTGCATAAAAATGTTTGTTAACAGACTTGATTTTCTTGAAAATATACATTTCTTGCATTCACTGAATGATTATAGAAAAATATACCAAAAGCAACCACCTATCAAATCAGATAAATCATTTTCAATTATTAAAGTTTTATGCATTTCAATTTAATTAGCTCTAAATAATAAATTAATGTGGGTGCCAGTATTTTGCTCCATGGTATAAATTCAATATAGTAATATATTAACATCACAAATTAAAAACTTACTATTTCAGACTGGAATCCTATGCGTCAAGATCTCAATGCCTTTCAGATTTTGTCCTATGGGTTAGTGATCAAGACTAATTCAGGTTGCATTCAATCATGCTATTTGACAGTTTTTTCGAGGTGATAAAGTACTATCATTTCAAATGTGGGAGAAACATTTGGAACTTGTACATTAAGTATTATTAAACATGAATTAAATATTAAATATAAATATTAATTAAACATGGACTGAAATTATGGCAGGAGCAACATGCTCACACATCTGGACAAAAGCTTAAGATAAAAATTATTTTGTATAATCTGAACATATTTAAATGTAGACAAGATTTGTTGTTGAGATCAAAAACATGCATCTCCCTTCTCTCCACCTACCCACAACTACCACCACCACCAATAACATGATGACATACAATGCCATTGTGTGTGTACTGGGTGAAAGGAAAATTCCAGCAGGGTGAATGATTTTAAATTTTGTTTGCAGAATGAAAAAGAGATATTTAAGGTCCACATTCCTTTGATTGAACCAGCTGTCAAATTGTATAAGTGCTAAAAAGTTATGCTCTGCAAAATTTAGGTTACACTTTACATCTGTCCAAAGGCTGACCAAAAAAGTGAAATAAATTTAGAAGCTGAAATATTGCAATAATGGCATGAAAATGTACTTTTCATTAACATATTCAATACTATTGTCAACCTTAAAATGGTGTTAGCTGTGTTAACAAGGTTTTAACAAAAAAGTTTAATCCAAAAAGTTTAAACTGGAAGAAAAAAAAATGGAAGAATGATAATAGCCTGAAAATGTGATCAGAATATATACATATACAAATATTTATCAAACTTCATATATCTACCTAAAGTGGTGGTTGTTTAACTGTAAACAAAGTTTGGAAAAAAGTCCCAGTCTAAGAAGTTACTGATATATACAAATAAAAAGATCTTGCTTAAAACACTGGTCAAAAGCAGTAGAACAACACAATTCTGAAAAACTAAACAAAAGTACCTTGAATTAAACTATACACCCCCTATGTTTAATAGTTCTCTACATAGACACTTGTAGGGCATGAATGAAACAGGAAATTACTGACCAATGAGTTTCAATGACCCAAAACTTCAGTCCATGTGCTGAAATCATACTTTTTTTTTTAAATCAGACTTGCCACTACCATGACTATTTATCTTTATAACCCTGATCTTAACATTTTTTTATAACTGCAAACCATTCCATGTTTTGTCACAGTACATCAAAGCAATCATTTCTGTGACCTTGATTCTAAAATCGATAGGTTTCTTTATTACCAAAGCGCAAGCCATCTACAAAGTTTGATCATGCTGTAATTTAGAACCAATGGATAAGCATGAGAAATTTTTCTTCTTTCACTCAGTGCTCTTGACATTTGACTCCTAATGTAAGCCATCAACAAAGTTTGATAACTGTTGAACACTGGAGTTATTGTGAGGAAATGAAATAGGGTAAAGATAACCAGATGGAGTAACAATTTCTGTTTCTGGTGTTTAACACCAAATTTCATCACAAATAGGCAATACATGGCAGCCAGTACATTTGGTTTAGGAAGAACATGGAAATACCCCTTTAACAACCATTGGCATGCTTTCTCATTTACCCAATTTGACTGAGCAGAAACCCAAACTCGCTCAGACAGAGAGATGTTCCCATTATCTGTACAAAGGCAAGTGAAGTAGATATTTGGCTACCCAGAGCTCCAAACAGATAAACCAACTTATGGTCAACAAAACACAGAATCTTATGGCCTTATTGCAGGTGCATAAAACAAAACAGGTCTAAAAATGCTCAAAAATCTAATTAGGTCATCTACATACTTGTACAAATATGCCTAACAAATTTATTTGTCTACCACAATGTTTTGAGGGTTTTTTGTTGCTAAATTGTGCTGAAAATCAAGTCTAAACATTTTTGAAAAATTGGTATAAAGCTGCTACAACGTCCTAAAAATCTAAATGGGTTATCTACATACATGTCCAAAGAAACATACCAAATTGCATTTTTCTACCTCAAGTAATATGTGCAAAAAATATGCAACAAGTTGAAAAATGTCTTTTTTAAAAGTGACAAATAAGATCAGTCACCAGACTCCTGGTTGTTTTCCAGTAGTGATAATTAACTATAACATTTCAAGAAATATCATCAGAGGTTCAAAAGTCATACTCTTAACAAGGACGGGAGTCACCGAATTAGCTTTCCTTCCATTAACCTCAAGACTTATTGTCACATTGGTATGCGAGACACCATCTATTCTTTACTGGTTTAAAATGTTATACTCTGGGAAAGGATACCAGTCAGATAATTTTTCCCCCTCAATGACCTAGGCAAGAAACAAGGTACATGTGAGACCTAGGCAAG